GTGGTTCGTCAATCTGATGAGAAGGAGGAGAGCATCACAGTGACGGACGCGAAAGCTCTCTATGACCTGTTCCATCGTCGAAGTGGTTCAGCCGGTCTAGATCGTCGAGCTCAAATCGATGTGGCAGTGATGTGCCACAGTGCAAAGGTGTTGAACGCGAAGGTGCACTGGCTGCCGGGACATTTTATGCTTGCCAACCCCCTCACCAAAAGGTTGGGGAATAGCAAGCTGCTTCGAAGTGTGATGCATCTGGCTAAGTATGCCATACAGGAAGATGCGCTCCGAAGCCTCATGCATGAACTGTCGGAGGAACCCCCTGATGGATGTAAATCCCAGCACCCTGGAGCCCGACAGTTGTGTTCCGTGTGATGTGCATAGTTCCTTCAGCAGCCATGCTTCAGCTTTCCTGTGAGTGATTGTCGACCGTTGCCACCAGGGGCCCCTTGTGCTAGCAGAAAAGAGGGTTGAGCCCGAACGTCCGCCGTGTGTTGCTCTACAGACCCATTCAGGAACCAAGCCAGCACTAGCTCAGGAACTTCCTCAGGAAAATCGGGAGCCAAAGCGAGAAATTCACGTACCGGAATTCAGGAACCAGCCCGGAACCGATAAACAGTTCCATTCATGAACTGGGAATTATGGTTGAGGGTGGTTGTTGGGTTGGCAGACAAGTATTTTACGGGCTCAGGGCTCAGGGGGCTCGGTTTGGTTTGGGGTTCTTGAGGGCTCTCGAGGGTTCATGGTCTTCCGGCTTAGGGTTTAGGGTAATTGAAGTTGTAGGGTAATTCGGTGCACCGAGCCGTCCGGCATATCTGACTTAGCAAAGGCAGGGCCTTTCAGGGTTTGAGGCTTCCCGGCTTTAGGGTTTGTAGGGTGTCGCAGGACTTAGGGTTGTGCAGGGTTTCTGGATTTTGTACGGGTTAAGGTTCAGGCTTCGGCTTTTCGAGAGTTAGGTTTCAGGATTTAGAATGTTTTAGGGTTTATAGCTTCAGGTTCTCACAGCTTATCGTACTTTGAAGGGATTAGGGCCCACAGCGTGTAGGGTTTAGGATTTTTGAACTCGATTTTGGCTTGGGATTCTGTAGGGTTCATGGTTTTCCGGATTAGGGTTTAGAGTTTAGGGTTTTTGAAGCTTAAGGGCCTGGGGTTTTTTGCAGAGTACACCTAGATCGATGCGCCACGCCGTCCGGCATATCAGAATTCGCAAAGGCGTGGTCCTCATGAAGAAGGTTTCCCGGGTTTAGGAGGTCAGAAGCTTAAAGATTTCGGGCTGTCTAGAATTAGGGGTTTCCGCGGTTTAGGGTTGAGGCTTCGGCTTTTCGAGGTCCGGGTTCAGGATATTCCAGGGTTCAGGGCCAAGGGTGCAGGGCTGACAAGGTTCAGGGTTTCGGGTGTAGGGTTCTCCAAGCTTTAGGGCTTCTGGTTCTTTGGGGGGTTCCTGGCTTTTCCGGCTTAGCGTGTGCGGTTTTCAGGCTTTAGGGGTTTAGGGTTTGGGGCCATGTCGGATTTGCAGTTGAGGCTTGAAGTACGCTTGGGTTTCTTGAGGGTCTAAGGTTTCCCGGGTACAGTGTGCTGAGGATTCAGGGTTCACAAGGTTTAGGGTCGACGGTTTTGCAAGGTTCAGGGCTTTGACTGTGTTCAGGGTTTAGGGCTCGCAGGGTTTAGGGTTTAGAATTGTTTGAAGCTCGGTTTGGCTTTGGTTTCTTTACGGGTCATGGGCTTGGTTTTTTCGCAGGATTTACAACGTTTAGGGTTGAGTATTTTCAAAGTGTCTTCAAGTAGTTTAAGGGTTTAGGGCCAATAGGGTTTAGGGTTTAGGATTTTTGAAGCTCGGCCGGCTTGGGGTTTGGGGATTGTTTAGGGTTTTTGAAGCTTTAGGGCCTGAGGTTTTGCAGGGTTTACACCTAAATGGATGCGCCGCGCCGTCCGGCATATCTGACTTCGCAACGGCGTCGCGCTGCAATGTGCAACTCAAATCCACACACAGCCGGAACCCGTCCTGGCGCGCCTATTGTGACGATGCGGTTCCCGAACTGTCTGTCCGCCGGCCGAATTTCCGCACCCACGAATCGGATGCGAATCGGGTTCCTGAATTCTTGCCGGCTTCCGAAATTCGGTTCCCGAATTGCGTGTCTCGGGTTCCGAGATCGTTCAGCCCAGAATGCTGCCGGGATGTGCAGGGTGCAGTTGCGGGGAGTGTGAGAACTTTCGTGACTTTGTGCTCGGAATTTCAGACATTCGGAAATCAGCTGCAGGATTGCTCGCAACTCCTGGAAAAGCCGTTTTCGTTGGCCTCGATCCTCAGCCGAGGTCGATGAAAGCAGAGTGCAGATCGCCTTGTTGATGTTGTGGTGCCGTGTTGTGCAGTGTGCAGGTTTGGCAGCGGAGAAAGAGGAGCTTGCAAGGCAGAGTGAAGTGAAGCAGAAGAAGGCGACGTCCAGCTTGGTCCGATCGCTTTGTTTCAACAGGCTCTTTTGCAGCTGCAGGCTTGTCCGCTAAATTGCGACAACCGCGGAGACTGCCGTGAGGGTACGTGCATCTGCCACGACGGTTGGACGGGACCGGCATGTCAGGACTTGGGTCGGCTGTTGTGTGTGTGTGTGTGTGTGTGTATGTGTCTGTGTGTGTCTGAGAGTGCGCGCCAATCTGGCTCTTGATGTCGTGACCCGTGCGCATCGTGAGGACTACCTTCAACCTTTTTCCAAGCCGAGACTCGACCTCACTCAGGCTAGCTGCCACCAACTCGGTGTATGTCCCCTGTGCTCGGGTTAGAGCTCAGTCACAGTCTGGGATTGAGGGTCTGCAAGCCACACACAAGTCAATTTGGGGTTTCGAGCTAGTGCCCGAATAGCACTGAATTCCTCACATTGGCTGCGTGTAGCTAGTTTGTCCGCCCGCTTGCTGGGGCTTCCTGTTGCTGTGTTTGCATTCCCCAAGATGCTGTTTCTTGTGTGTTTTCGGTCTCTTGTTGTTGTGAATGCGTCCTTGAGTCCTTGACTCTTTGTCCCAAAGTCCGAAACTGTGCTAGTTAGGCTGCGCCCTTCAAGTCACTGTACTCCCCACACGGGCAAGATATCTCGTACGAGGCAGACTTGTAGAGTCGGCATTCCTTCCAGGCATACACGAGAAGCTGCGCAGACCCGACCTGCTCCGGCAAGGGTGTGTGCCGGCGGGTGCCCAAGACCATACCATGACGGACGCAACTCGTGCAATTTCTGCTGGTTTCCAGGCTCGGCCAGTGCAAGTGTCAAGAAGGTTTTCGCGGAGAGGCCGTCTGGGAAGTCCGGATGAGCGCTGCAAATCTTCCTCTCAGGACTAAGCAGCCAGCAAGCCGGAATGCCATTGTCCAGGCATGTGAGCTGCTGGATACCTCCGCGGCAGCTAAGTCTGCGCCTTTGCAGCTGCAGCTTCAGCAGGCTGAACATGGGGGATGCCAAAGTCGGCTATTCTCGTCTTCTTGATCGTCCATGCACGGTCCATGCACGGAGCTTCTTTGTGAATCTTTCATGTCAAGCTGGCAGATGTCTCTCATGTGTACTCTTTGCTGGGTTAATTTACGACTGACTGATTGGCTGAATGTTTGACTTGTCACGTGTCGCTTCTAGCAAGGGCGACTCCGAGACTAGACAATACTGTCATCCGTAGGGCATCCGTGGTTGTGGACATGTCAGTAGACACAGTCCTCGCTACAAGCTCGAAGGCTCTCGATGGGTGTTGCAGAATAAGCAAGTGAACGGTTGGTTGATGTCTGATGCTTGTTCAGACATTATACTTCAGCAGAAGCCGCACCCAGCATGAATCCTGTTCCCGTCTCTACCAACATACAGTCTGGGCAGGGATGTGACAAGCACATTTCATTAAACATCTCCGCTTCCGACATTTCTGTCCTTTCCGGCTTGCAGGCCTCCGGGGAATCGTTAAGGTTCACTGACAGTAGGGCTGAGGCGTATGAGTTTGGCGTACAAGCTGCCAGGTCACAAAAGAGGACGAGGAGCTCGCTCTGATGTGTCCCGGAGGATGCAGTGGCCATGGCAAGTGCCAGGCAGTGAAGAGTAGAGAACATGCTATTCGCTGCTGTGCCGTCTTGGATCCTTGGAGTCTTTGCGCTGCCAGCGAGGGCATGTGCAGAACGGTGCAGACGGGTTGGCACTGCCGCATTTGTGTCCGTGGGATTTGTCAGGCAGGAATGTGCGAGTGCGAGGCTGGCTGGCAAGGCTCCAGCTGCACGATCAATGTGGATGCAACACTGCGGACCAAAGACGAGGCGGAATAGAAGGAAGGTCTTCCTGTCCAGAGAGCTTCGTAACTGGCCAAGGATGCTGACCTCTCTGTGGCACAGATACCAGCAGCCGGATCCTGGATACCTGCTGCGCATGTCGCTTCGACTTACTAGATTGTGTTTTCAGTGTGCCCACCTCGGGCGACGAGATTGGCCGGCACAAATTGCGGGTGTGCTTCCTGAAGGCAGCTTCAGGCAAAGCTCTTCGTGCAAGTCTACAGCAGGTTCAGCAGGTGCACACAGTGTGCTGCATCCCTTGACAGCTTGAGACTTCTGTAGCCCATGCTCGCATGGAGAAATTGCTTGCGCGATCTGCAGGAACCTGCGCAGGCATCTCGCTTGGCACTTCAGTGGCGGTCAGGGTATGATGATTCTGTTCTTGCTGCCCATGCCCATGCATTGCTTTCTGAGGTATCCACCATGAACTCTTGGCTCAAGGCTGCGAGTTCGGCAAGCACTGACCGCACTGCACAGACCTGAGGGCAAGAATGGAAACGGGTGCAGGGACAGATCGCGCGTGTCTGTCTTTGCACAGCCCTGCCTGTGAGGTTGATCGGCTGGCAGCCCTGCTGAAAGGTGCAATTGCAGCACCGCAAGACTGAGATCGACATCAGGAGAAAAGAGTCGAATGTTGCGTGTGTGATCGAAGTTCTTTTCTAAGCTGTCTGAAGTTCTCGGGTCGTCCGTCGCACGGGCATCTCCTGGAAGCTTTCAGTGCTTTCAGGCCATGGAAGCCTTTGCCGTATTGGAGAAGTTGGCGCTGGATTTTGCCACACAGGCCAGTGTAAGACATTTTGAAGCCTCTCCATCTGAAGGAGACGATTTCACTCACACATTGCGTTTTAGATGGCTTCGCCCTTCAGAGATTGGGCGGCAGTCCTCACCGTTGCCGGCGCAGAGTCGCAGCGAAAAGTAAGCTTTCGTCTCTACGTTCGCCCGCCGTCGCGTCGTGCACTGGCACGCAACTCAAGACGACTTTAGCCGACGATGGTCGCAGATAACTGCAGGGACTTGTCTGTGACCTACGGCTCAGTTTTCTAACCTGGTGGTAACAGCTTGTTTTTCCTAGTGACCTAGTGTCTCTGCAGAACTTCAGACACTTTGGTGTTGGTAGCTTCAGTCATCATGCCTGCGGGTCGGAAATGAATCAGATTGGCTGCGACATCGGCGTTGATTTGCAGCAGATGCCAAGCGACACCTCATCAACCATGCGGTGATCTGACCGCACTAGAAGCTGGCTTTAGCCGCACTAGAATTGGCATTCATGTCGCAGCAGTTTTCGCTTTCTATGGCCGAGGTGTATACACTACGATCGCCCTCTTGAGAGTAGGGGTGCTGCAGACTTGCCCAAGGACCGGTGAGAGGGAATGAGATTCAACCGCCAATTAGCTATTCGTGACTGAAGAAGCTCCAGGTCACCGGCCAACATATAGCCGTGGGAGCGGAGGTTGGGCAAGAGACCGTTCTTGTTCCTTTATTGCAGAGGCCCTGAAGCTGCTAATTCAGAGCCTAGTCAGGTGCGGCTGGTAGATCTGCAGGGTGGTGAAGTCGCTCTGAACGGGCTCAAGGCAGCCTGGGGTGCTCGGAGATGAGTTGAAGGCGTTGATGCTTCAGCGATGGCTGCAGGGCACAGTGACTGGTATGGACGAGGGCTTCGAAGTGTCGCTGGCCGGGGCGCCGGAGGCCAGCATTCCCCCCCTCTATCTCCTGTTTCCTGGGGGAGGACGGGGTCCCCTAGGATATCCTATTTCCTATCCTGGTTTTGAGACGGGAGGGAGGGGGGCGGAAATAGGAAAAAGATAAGATGCGAGCTAGTAACTAGTATAACGACATGAGAGACACGCAGAGCCGTAATGTATCCAGTGGGGGGGTCTTCAATTACTATCGGGAGAGCTCGTTTCCATCTTTCAGTTTCCGGTGGCTACTTCAATATATATATATATGTATATGTATATGTGGGAAATCTGAGATAGTGCGCAGAGTAGCCGAACAGGACTGATGACAACATGATCAGAATCGAGTTAGTGGCAAATATGCGATCTGGGAAATCTGATCTGGTACTTGTTGGGGTTGGGGTCTAGGGCGGTGGCATCCTGGATAAAACTTAGGTTTAGCGGGGCATGTGGTGCTGAGTGCACTTTTTGTATGCCCGTCCACATTGCTGCTTGCTCAGGCATTTTGCCACGAACCGTAGACGCTCATGCATGGATTAACGAGATTCCCGACGGCCCTTGCCAGCCTCGCGAAGCCACGAACTATTCTATTAATTTAAGTAAGATCTCAAACCACTATGACGGCATAGGGGGTTAAGGGTTAGTAGTAAGCCACTATGTCAATGTCGGCAGTGAGTTTATAGTTTTTTAAATAAGATCTGAAGCCACTATGATGGCAAGCGGGGTAAGGGTTAGTAGTAAGCCACTATGTCGGCAGTGGGTATACGAGAGCCAGATTGGAAATAGGATAATCCGAGGGGGAGTCCGCTATGAACGCCTCGGCTGGGGC